GCGTCCCGCGAGGGCTCTAAGTCGCTGGCGCATCTAGTGTGGCCCGCGTGTCCGGAGCAAGTGCGGGCAGAGCCTTCCCGCGCAGAGCGGAGGGCGCGACCCGGATTCGTAGCCAGGGGCTCCCCCATCCTGTCCCCTGTGTACTATCTACCCTTGAACATACTGAAGTAGACGGCGTGTTTTGTTTTGTTTGTTTTTTTATAAAAACCAAGTGTCTTTATTCCTGAATAGTTTAGTATGGCGGTGGGGGCCGGAGCACCCTCGGGAAAGCCCTGGAACCCAGGGAATCGGCCTAGATGCCAATTGCGGGGAGCAAAGGGTGCCAGGATCGGCTCCTCCACAGCCCGGGTCCTGCAAGGGAATGTGATCAGGCCAAAAGTCCAGACGAGGAGACTCTGGAGACCCCAACCCGATGCGCTCCGTTCGTGGGGAGGAGGCAGCTCTGGGAGCCTGTGCTGCGACGGGTCCAGAGACTGCGACTCGCCCGAGGCTGGGGTGCCCGGATGGCGCCCCGTCCGGGAAGGGGAGCCCGCCGCCCCCGCTGGCTCTTTGGCAGGCGTAGACACTTCGGGCTGGTCGGCCCCGGCCTCGTGTCTACGCCTGTTCTAGCTCCAGGTCCCCGTAAAGCAGGGCTCCGCTGAAGATGGTGAGCGGCTCCTCAGAGTGCGCCAGCTGCCCCATGACCAGATCGATGCAGACCGTGTCCCCGGCCTGCAGAGGCAGGATGAGGCTGAAGACGCCCAAGGCGCCCGGGCTGGGCTGGCTCTCAGCCACCGGCTTATTTTCCAGGCCCTCAGGCTCGTAGCCACCTGAGTCTATGCGGGCCACGCCCAGGTTGGAGCGGGACAGCACAGCCTCCACTTTCTCATGCCGATGACCAGTCAGCACCGCACTCAGCAAGTAGCGACCGGCCAGCGGCGCGGTGAACACGCCTGAGGACAAGGATGGCAGTTAGGAGAGGCAAGTGGCAGGGGCCAGGAAGACTTCGAGACCCTGAGTTCTTGGACTAGGGAGGGACCTGCTGGGTCTTTTCACCTCTCTTCCAGGAGCATGTAAGCTCCACGAGGGCAGGGGATTTGATGTTCGTTACCGGATCCCCAGCACTCAAAACAGTGCCTGGGCAAGAGCAGACCCCCAATAAAGAGCTGTTGAACTACTGGCTCCTCCCCTCCCCACGCCAGCGTTCAATCCAACCTGTCGTGAGAATGAATAAATGGAGGAAAGAATAAGGCTCTCCCCAAACCAGAGCACGGAGAGAGAGATTCGGCTTGTCTGAAGGGGCAAGGATGAGGACACAGCACTGCACAGCCTCCCCGCGGCCCGTGGTTCCCCCAATGTAGCCCGCTCTCAGGCTTACCAGTCACTGGATCATAGTAGTTCCCATCGTTGAGCAGGACTCTGTCGAAGGGCACCGTGCCTGGTTCAGACCGGGGCAAACTCAGGGCAGCTGAAAAGGCCACCCGGGGCACAGAGGCTGCTGGAGCCCCTTCCACTCCTGGGTGGGGATAGGATGGGTGTCAGAGTGGATGCTCAGTGCAGAGCTGCCAAGCTCCCTTCCGCTCCTGAGTCTCTACCCCCAGGCCTGCCTGAGGCTTTCCATCCTCCAACCCTAATTCAGTTCTCCTCCCTCCAGCATCAAATGAGAACTTACCCTGTTCACCTTGGGGACCTGTGGGAGGAGGAAAGGGAACATCAAATGAACATCTGTAACATGAGAAGTAGGGCAGCTCTTGCTAAGACACTCAGCAAACATCTGCTGAGTCGGTCCTGCTGTGCTAGGTGCTAGGCAGACTTTAAAGCAGGAATAGAGGTACCAAGAAATGAGGAGATAGGTCCACTCTTTTCAACTGCCAGGCCATAAGCCCTTAGCCCCCCGCCTGTTACATTTGACACAGCCTTTGTAGGTTCAGCCTTGGTCTTCAGTATAGTAGTGAGGCCACCATATCCAATTAGCCAACACAGTGACTAGTCACTTTCATAGTCACTATCAGCCTTCTAGGACCCCCAACTCCTCATCCCTTTTCCCCCCTTCCCTGTCAAATTCAGAGTCGATCGTCAAGCCTGGGGCTGCCCATGGGTGGTGCTAACCCTGGCTGCAGCAAGGACCTCAGCCCACATACCTGGTGGCCCGATGGGCCCCTTTTGTCCATCCTTGCCCGGAAGTCCTGGAGGTCCAGCAGGGCCTGGGGGTCCCTGCACTCCAGGAGGCCCTGGGGGCCCAGCCTCACCTGCAGGCCCTACAATGACAAAAGTTGAAAGAGAACCATAAAAGGAGTTCCCAAAGGACAAAGAGGGTGGTAGCTCCACGGACAGGTTAATGGGACCCCTCACTGCCCATGCTGGATAGCTGGCTGGCAGAGCAGCACCCCACCTCCACCCACAGGCCTGTCTGAGTTGCCAGGGAAGGACCGGGGGCTGGGACCTTGGATCATCTCTTGTGGATAAACCACCCCCTAGGTCAGTGGTGGGTCTGCAATTTGTGCTGGGCAGAGCAAAGAGAAAGTAGATGAGGTTAAGGCTGGGTTGTTGCTGGGGAGCGGGGGAGGGGTCCCTGTGCACTGCCCCGGGCCTCCTCTTGTCCCCTTACCAGTGAGGTCCCTCAGGCCGAGTTGGTGAAGTCGGTCCTCCAGGAGCAGTAGGGAACTGTTCAGAGCACCAAGCCGCCTGCCCAGGCCGGCCTGCCCCCCCAGCAGCTTCTCCAGCAGGGCTGCCTGTGTCTGGCTGGTGCTGTTGGTTTCCCGTAGCCCAGCCCAGAGCCCAGCCACGTGTCTCGAAAGGCCCTCACGTAGGCCCTGCAGCCCCCCAGCCACCGTGTCCAATCGCTCACAGACTCCCTCAAGACGGCCCAGTCGTCCCTCTAGGCTGGGGCACTGGCCAGCCTGTGCCTGACCCTCTTCCAGGCCTCGGAAGCGCTCTTCACTCTCTGTAACATGCTCTGTGGCCTCCTGCTGTAGCCTGTTAATCTCAGAGATAATGCGGTCCTTGGTGGCTCCCAGGTCAGCCAGATCAGCGCCCTGGCCCTCCACAGTGGTTTGGAGCTCATGCAATGAGTCATTGAGGGAGCTGAAGGTAAGAATAACCTCAGAGAGCTCTCCTTGCAGGGCCTGTAGGGCTGAGCCTGAGCTGCCCCCGAACACACTGAAGCCATCCAGAGGCCCACGGCTTGGCCCCCCAACACCTGGGCCGGCCCCAGGGCCCCGTGGGGGAAGCAGAGGGCAGGAGCAGCGCTCCACACCGTCCCGAAGGCGGCCCAGTTCCTCTTGGACACCACCGCAGGCCCCACAGCCCTCATCCCCACGGGCCTGCAGCAGGCCCTCCAGTTGACCCAGCCGTGCAGCTGTGAGATTCAGCTGAAGTGTGAACTCTGCAGCTGTCTCATCTTGCGCATCGACACGACTCTGGAGCTGGCCTATGACCCCTTGCAGTCCCTCCAGTATGGTCTGCCGGCCCTCTCCAGCTTCTTCCACCTTGTGCAGTCCTGAGCCCACCAGCCGCAGTTGTCCCTCGCTGTCCAGCATCCTGCGCTCCAAGGCACTGAGGATCTCACTGACCTGGGAGTCCTGCTCCCCTGGGGCCCCAGAGCAGAGCTGCCCACATGCCTGTACAGCCCCTGCCACCTGCTCTTCCAGCAGGTCTAGCCGTCCACCCAGCTCCCCACTCACATTGGCCAGCAGCCCCTCCAGCTTCTCTAGTCGGCCCCGGGCAGCAGGCAGCCAGTGTCCCAGTCCCCCAGGACGCACAGGCCAGCCTTCTTCCTGCTCCTCTGAGGGACCCAGGGTGGAATTGAATCGGTTCTCCAGGCGAGAGAGGCGGGATGCTAAGCTGGTATAGCCTGGGGGATGGCCTCCCTGCCCGGCTGCTCCTTCCAGCTCGGTGCCTCGCCGCCCACTCAACACTGTCACTGAGCCAGCCACGACCTCCAGCCTCCGCTCCAGATCTGCCAGTCGCCGGCCCAGCTCTGGAGGGCAGCATTCCTGAGGGGGCCTGCGGCCCAGGACCTGCCCAGCGAGCTGCCGCTGCCCCTCCTCCATGGAGGCCAGTAGCTTCTCCAGTGCTCGGAGCCGCTCTCTGTCATCTTGCTGCTGCCGGCGGAAGCCATCCAGCCCCGCCAAACACACAGAGCAGGACTGCTGCAGTCGCTGCTCCAGCTCCCGCAGCAGCTGCTCGCTGTGGCCAGGAGGGGCTGGGGTTGGGTCCAGGGCCCTGCCGCCACTGCCGCCACCACCACTGTGATGGTTGTTGAGATGACCTAGCTCCTGGTCGTGGGTGGAAACGCGGTTGTCCAGGAGCTGCAGCTGCTGCTGGATCTCATGGAGGGTTTCGTGCACACCGGGGCGGGCAGCGGCATCTGCTGGCTGCTGCCTCCCATTAAAGGCTGTCTCCACAGCCTTCTGGACATCTTCTGCCAGGCGCCCACTCAGTCCCTGCAGTACACCCCGAAGGCCCTGAAGCTCCTTTGTCAGGCTCTGTACCTGCTCCTCCAGCTGCTGTACCTTCTCTGACTCCCCAGGACCTGGCAGAGAGGGGAAGACATAGCGGAGGGGCTGGACCTCAGAGCCAGGTGCCTACCTCCTAGGTCCAGCTCCCCAGTTCCAACATGAGGCCAGAGGTCTTAGTTGATTCCACCAATTTAGGTAATTTGGGCAAGAGAGATGGAAGGAAACTCCCATTCACTGAATACCTCTAGGCCAAATCTTTCCCCCTAACAACTCCATTGGGCAGCTACCATTAGCTTTTCCCATTTTGTAGGTTGAGAAAGAGGACCAGAGAAATTAAGTAACTGGGCCATGGATTACAAGCTTAATAAGTGGCAGAGCCAAGTTTCAAACCCAGGTCATCCATCTGACCACCAAGCCCATGTTCTTTCCACTGTCCAGAGGGCCTCTTAACTTTATGGAAATTGTTTCCTCATCTGTGAAATAGATATGACACTATGTTGCTCCCTCAGGACAAGTGAAATGGCAATGTGGGGGAGGCACTGTGGACTGCATGACAGTGGCTCTTCCTGGGCAGCACCTCTCCACAACACCACAGGGGACAAACAAGGTTCAGTGGCA